CTTAGACCTCAACCATATCCCATCCCATCCCATTCCATCCCATCCCATCCCTTGATGAAGCCCCCTGGGCTGTCCCAGACTCCTCAAGGTGGGCCCTGTGGATCTGAGCTCTGCCCGGCCCCTCTGCACTGTGTTTCAGTGCAACCCTTTCTCACCTCCACCTCCACCTTTACCAGGTGGCTATTGACTTCACTGCCTCCAATGGGGACCCAAGGAGCAGCCAATCCCTTCACTGTCTCAGCCCACGCCAGCCCAACCACTACCTGCAGGCCCTGCGTGCAGTGGGAGGCATCTGCCAGGATTACGACAGGTGGGAGGAGGTGGAAGGGGCGTGGGGGAAGCAGGGAGCAGAACAAGCAGAGAGAGCTTGTCCCATAAAAGCCAAGGCCTTTTCTTCTCTTCAGTGATAAGCGGTTTCCAGCTTTCGGCTTTGGGGCTCGAATCCCTCCCAACTTTGAGGTTAGTTGGGTGTACATAGGAGGGAGGAGATGGGAGTGGAGTCAGCCAGAAACCAAAGTCATCCTGTTACCACCTCACTTTACCTTCACAGGTGTCCCATGATTTTGCTATCAACTTTGACCCAGAAAACCCTGAATGTGATGGTAAATGGCAGAAACCCACCTTCAACCCTGCCCCTCTCCCCGACACTATCCTGGGGTAGATGTTGTGGTACAGTGGGTTAAGCTGTGGCTTGGGATGCCTACAACTCCTATCAGAGTACTTGATTTGAGCCCTACCTATTACACTCTCCATTCGGGATCCTGCTACCATATCCTTGGAGGTAGCAAATAGTTACTCAAGTCCTTGAGTCCCTGCCACCCACATAGGATTTCAGGGCTCCTGGCTTCAACCTGATCCAGGGTAGCAGTTGTGGGTATTTGGTGGGGGAAGCAGTGAACCAGTGAATGGAAGACCTGTGTGCATGTATGTGTGTGTGTGTATCTTTTTCCTGGAGAGGTTTCTACCAACTTCACACAGGCTCCTAGCAGAGACCTGCACACTGCTTACAGAAGCACACACTGCCTGCCACATCTCAGTACCCTTCCTTCCACCCATTCAAGCTCTGCCTTTGTTACTAAAGCTTCCAGCCATGAGGACCCCTGAGTTGAAATGAGAAAGTTGGAGGTGATGGGGAAGGCTGACCAGTTCCTATGACCCCAGGGAGCTCACTCTGCCCTATGGAATGTGAGGGAGGACTGTCTACCCTCTGCTTCTGCTTGCCCACAGAGATCTCAGGGGTCATCGCCTCCTACCGTCGCTGCTTGCCCCAGATCCAGCTTTATGGCCCTACAAACGTGGCTCCCATCATCAACCGAGTGGCTGGGCCAGCCCAGCGGGAGCAGAGCACCGGCCAAGCCTCGGTGAGGAGGAGTCAACAGACAACCCAGCACTGCCCCTAGAGGGTCCTTGGTGCTGGCCTGCCCAGCACTCAGAAACCCTCAGTCCTTCCTTCCCTTCTGCTACCCGCAGAAGTACTCGGTACTGCTGGTACTCACTGACGGTGTGGTAAGCGACATGGCAGAGACCCGCACTGCTATCGTGCGTGCCTCTCGCCTGCCCATGTCCATCATCATCGTGGGCGTAGGCAATGCCGACTTCTCCGACATGCGGCTGCTAGACGGTGATGACGGTCCCTTGCGATGCCCCCGAGGGGTGCCTGCGGCCCGTGACATTGTCCAGTTCGTGCCCTTCCGAGACTTCAAGGATGTGAGTCCTCCAGTGTGACCCCCTCCTCAACACCCTTGTGTCCCCAAACCTGACCTCTCTCTCTGCTCCCTGTGGATGTCCTGGAGCAGCCCTGCCCTCATCTGATCCTGCCTTCCCCCATTGACACCCACCTCCCAACTGAGTCCTCACCCTCACACCAACGCCAGGCTGCCCCCTCTGCGCTTGCCAAGTGTGTCCTGGCTGAGGTGCCGCGACAGGTGGTGGAGTATTACGCCAGCCAGGGCATCAGTCCCGGGGCTCCCAGGCCCAACACGCCCACCACCACACCCAGCCCTAGCCCGTGACCACAGCCCACCAAAAGGATGCTCCCTCAGCCTCTGAGTGAGTACTGAGGGGCCAGGGGATACAAAAGGGGGTCTCCAGGGAGTCTTGGTGGAGTGTAGAGGAAGATGCTTTGACACTCCCTACCTCCCTTGCCCATGCAGGTGCCTGTCCTGACCCCTGTGATTCAAGTGACCAGTGCCTCTGCCTCTTGGACCAGCCCCGCCTTCTGGGTCCTAGAAGTGAGTGATGGGCCCAGACCCCATCTCTGTGAGCCCTATATCCCCAGCAATCCCATGACCCCTCAGTGACCTTCCTCAATTATCCCCACTTTCTGGCTGTTAATAAAAGGAACTGCTCCTACCAGCTTCTGCGGATGGTGCCTCAGATGTCCCCTGGGCAGTAGTCCCCAACTCCATACCCTACCCCAGCAGCTTTCAGAATCTGAGACAGAGCTTCCCAGGCATCTGTGGTCCCTGCAGTACTCCCACCCCTAGCTCAGTGCCAGTAAAGTCAAGAAGCACCCCCTTCGTCCTCCCAACCCCAGGGGGTCCAACATCAATGGGGGTGTTGATTACAGGGAATAGGGGTAATAAGGGACTATGAAGAGAACAGGCTGACACCCTCTTGCAGCTGTCACCAGAGTGGCCCTGCTGAGTTCCCCCACCCTAGGGCGGAGGTGGAACCCCAGCCTACACACAGCTGTGGGGCGGGCCAAGAAGGGAGGGGGCAGTCAGGAATGCAGAGGGGCATATAAGGGCTACACAGCCTTCCTGTCCTGGATGTTCACATCTGACTCTCCACAAGTGTGGCTCCAGTGGCTCCGGACCCCATCAGTGACCACAGCAGGTGTCAGACTTCCTGAGGAGTGCTGGTTTAAATGCTAGGTACTTATCATTAACTTCCCCCTCCCCACAGCACCATTTTCTTGATAAAGCCTGGTTTTAACTCATTCATAGCCATAGAAGAACTAGGGTAGAACTGGAACTTGGACCCAGGTCCATCTGACTAAAGAGCCCACATTCTCAGTCCCCACTGTGTTCAGCCCTTATCTGAGGTAGAGCTGTGTGACCCTGGTGCATCATCTCAGAATCCCAGCTGTGTGTTTGCAGGGCCTATTTGTGTGCACGGGTGTCCCTGGGTAGTGTCTCTGCCCTTGTGTGCATTCAAGTAAGAAAGCTGCATGGGAGAAGTGGTGGGTCTACATTGCAGGGACACAGGTAAAATCTAAGACAGGAAAGAAGAGTTGGGTGGCTGGCAGGAAGCCCCCTCCTACCCTAGACCCTTCTGGCCACCGCCATCATGGCAGAGGTTCAGGGCTCCAAGAAACTTGGTGGGGAAGGAAGAGAAGAGAGGAGCCCTTAGGGGGATGGAGGAGAGACTTCATGTTGCAGACTCCTGCATGCAGAAGCCAGAAGCGGGGCTGGAGGAGGGGGAGGAGGGAACAAGAACTGCCCGTGGGCAAAGACAGCTGGGGAGGGGGCGGACAGAGAGGGCAGAAAGGAAGAGAGACATATGGGAGCCGCTTCCCCCATGCCCAAGCGACCAGCCAACCACTTCTCTTTTATGTATTAATATGTCCCTTAGAGGACAGATGACAATGGCTGGTGAGGTGGCTGTTCTCAGCCCAATGCCTCTCTGCTCTGCCTAGAGGCCCTACCCAGCCTCCCCTTAGGCTGCTGAACTCAAGAGCTGGGTTACCATGGCAACTGGAAGACCTCACCAATACCCACTGACAGGTCCAACCACTGCTGCCTTTAGGATTTGGCAGTGGGGTGAGAAGGGTCTCCATCTGGCCCAATGCCCACCCTCCCCACCCCCCCATGTTCCAGATGGAGATGTGCCACTCAACATTTGGCTTCAGGTGAAGGCTTTACTAGCCTCTCGTTCTCCTCTCTTTTCTCTCCCACGCACAGACACACAAAACAGTAGCCTGAAGCACAGATAAAGAATGAACTCTCCTTAAATTGCAAGAATACATAGCCAGTAGCAGTCAAGTTCTGTCCGGACTTGAAGTTTAATTCATAAAAGCTGCACTCTCTCCATTCCTGGGCTGGCTGTGAAAAGTCTCAGTTGAGCTCTCATAAGGGGCGCCCCACGCAGTCTGTGGGGAGCACAATGCACCAAGACCACAACTCACAGGAAAGCCAAGCCTGCTCACCTGCGCTGCTGACACACACTGCCCAGGTTGAGGCCGGAAGCTGTAGCTGGATAGCGGCCCTTTCGGGTGGGGTTGTCTCTTGGGCTCCTTGGGGAGGCCCTTGGGACTCCCACACTGCGAAGCTGCCAGGACTGGGAAAGGTGTCAGGTGTCATCCACTCAAATGAAGAGTCGATGAAGTAACCGAGACCCAGGGAGCAATTGATTTGCTCAAGGTGGCAGGGATGGGATGAGTGCCCAGGGCTCCAGACTCCTGCCAGGGCTCTGTCTGCACCTGCACTGTCCACCCCCAGAGCTCACTGCTCCTGCCTTTGCCCCTTTGGCTCCTTGCAAGACCACTGGGTGGGCGGGTTGGGAGCATCTGGGGTACATTTCCTAGTCGTGGACGTATCCTGGACGTATGCCTCTGCAGCAGATTTGCATCTCTTGCTGCTGGGAATTGAAATCTTGGATATTCAGTAGCTGTGAAATGGGGCAGTAGCAAGCCTCACTACTAACAGCCTTGAAGCACTACAGATTGGGAACTGGGGTATGGATACCAGTCCCTTGCCTCAATTCATTGCTACCCAGCACCAACACTGGCCCTGTAGAATTGGGTACTCAAGTAACCAAGGTTCTGTGCATGATTTACAGGAGGGAAGGGGATGCCTTGTCAGAAAATGACCTGCAATCTAATCTCGAGGGTCCCTTGAGGGGTAGGGAAGTTTGGGGATATTTGTGTGACCATACAAGGAGTTCATGGGGCCAGAAGGCGCTAGGTAACAATCCAAAGGTACAGCCGCCTCCTAGGAGGTGTCTCCTCCTTACCCACCCCCCCACCCACATCCACCACCTCCCACCCCTATCACGGCTCAGAGGAAGAACTGGATGTGGTCCCCAGAGCCAGGACCACTGGAGGTCAGTCGGTCACAACGAGCCTTGTAGAGATCGCGCTCCCGGGCCAGGCGGGCCACCTCAGCGCGCAGCGCGTCCAGCTGGGCGGCCAGGCGGGCACGTTCGGCCTCCAGTCCGCGACGCTGCTGCAACCGCTTGGAGCGACAGGCCTGCGCGTAACCGCGGTTTTTCAGCGTCCGGCGCCTCTGCTTTAGTCGCAGCGCCTCATCGCGCCCGCAGCCACGCAGCTGCCGGTTCAGCTCCCGCACTGACATCGACACCAGAGCCGCGTCCGAAAAGCGATCAGCCAGCTGTGGAGGAAGAGCGCAGGGACCGGGTGGACGTTAGGGTTCCCCCTAACCCGCTGAGGAGTAGGGACCTGTACCGCCCCTCCCCAAGGCTCCACACTCGGGACCCCAGGCTGATCCTGCCCTTGGGAAAGCTCCGTCCGGAGCTTCCACCCCCTTCTAAGGAAGCAGTCTCTAGGCAGGCCCTGCCCCAGGCCCAAACAGCAGCACTGGCCCCTGGGCCGAACAGCCGCACTGGACCTGTGCCCCATAGGCTCTGCCCTCATCGTAGGCCCTGCCTCCAGGCAGGTGAGCCAATAGCGCGGCTGAACCCTGCGTTCATCCTCCATCCCTCTGGTTGCCCAGCATCGGATATTTCCATGAATGAACCAGAGGCCAGAGGGACTGTCCCTACCCTGCACCGGGCTACGCTTGCCTGTCCTGAAGGCCTCAGCCCGGTGACCCTCAAAGGATTTGGATTACATCCTAATGCTGTCAACACCCCCATCTGGGTCTGTAATTAATAGGATGAGTCTCAATCCTTCCTGAGAGGGTCAGGCGCTGGGGAAGCAGGGAACCTCCCAGCCAGTGAGTCTGGCTCTGTCCTCTCCCCTGTTTCTGCACATGGTGGATGCACCTGCTTGCTTTTGCCCCAGCCTTCTGGAATTCTCAATTCTTCATCTTGTCGGTCCACTTTTATCTTTTCCCTGCTCCTCCTGATTCAGCCGACTTATGTGAGCACAGAGTTGAGTTTGCTGGGAGTTCTTCCAAGGACCCTCTTGCCCTTCCCGTGCCTTATGTCCCCTCCTCAGTCTCTAGCAGCCCTGCGATCTCTCTTGGGTTGGCCACCTCCCTCTGCCCTCTGCCCCTTACATTAGCTTGCTGATCACTCACCTGTGTGTGCTGGGCTCCTGGCTCCTCTGGGCTCCCTGTGTAGAAGCCTTGGGTCCCATCCACGGGTACCTGGCCCTGCAGCAGCTCCACCGCCTCCTCAGGACTGAGCCCTAGTGCTTCGCCAGCCCCCAGCTGCTGCTGCAGAGTGGCCAGCCAGTACAGCTCCTCCAAGCCTGGCCGGGGGTCCTCGGGGGTGCCCACTGTGCCCGGCTCACTGAAGGTGGGTGAGGGAGGCACTGAGCTATAAGGAGTGGAGCCCAGGGATGCTGTGGGAGGGCCAGTGCACCCTTCAGATGGCTCCCGCTTTACCTCGAACTTCATAAGGTCGAAGTCATTGACATACTCCATAGCCAGGGGGCTGGGGGGCAGCGCCATTCTGAGGCTGAGTGATGGGGATGGGGTGTATCTGCAGACAAGAGAAGACCTCTGGAGCATATGGAAGCTACCTGCTAGGGCCCCTTGTCCAATATCTCTTCCCCAAAAGCCCAAGGCCCTGGAACTAAGACTCCAGGAAAATCATGGTAATGGTGGCTGACAGGAGTGGGTTGGGGGAAGAGGGGAGGGACGAAAAGCAGACCAAAGGGGCAAGGAGGAGCAGCACACCCCTCCCCCAACACACACTGGTTTCTCTGAAAACCACAGTCACACCGTGCTGCCTACTCTAGCGCGAGGACACTGAGATGTTCTGTCGTCTCCAGAGGCACCATTTCACTTCCAAGCAATTAAAATATTTTTGCTTAATTAACTGTGAAAAAGTACGTGTATTTTTTGGGACCATGGAAGATATGTGTGCCTTGAATTTTAAGGCTCTCTAGGAGGGTGATGTGTTATATTTCCATCTCTTGAGGACGAACAATGACATTCGTTCCTCAGATTAATCAATCAATCAGTTCCCTGGTATAGAGTCAAGAGACTTTCTAAGGAAAAGCTGGAATCAATTCCACAAAGATTGGGATTCCGTAGCAACCTTCTTCCTTTGAGGCTCATCATCAGGGTGGGACAGGAGGAAAAGATCAATGTCCCTCCTACTCAGGCCCTGTTGCGTTGTGTGAACTTGAGCAGTTCACCTTTGCTTGCTGATCCTACTTCCCCTTGTGTTCAAAAAGCATTTAGACACGTGCAGCCTTCTTCACGTTCCCCAGGGTGTTGCGTGGCATGCTAACTCTGAGAGGTACCAGGGAGAGCTCTGAGCTCAGAGAATTGATGAGAAATGTGCCTCCCAACCTCTTACAGATTCACAAAGCAGAAGAGCGAACCAATCTGGCGAGTCCTTCAGCAAACCATCTGTTCACCTCCAACACAGATATCCCCAGTGTGTCACCAAGGAACTCTGCTTGGTCGACCGCGGAGCACATGTCCACTTGAGGAGCCTCTGGCCCCATAGCCTCCAGGGACACTTTCAGAGATCCCAAGCTCCAGCCCAGATCCTGCTACCAACAGCCCTACTGCTATCCCCTGAGACCCTGAGGCAGGACATGCTCACAACCGTGGCTTGGGCTCTGCGGTTGCTTCTCCTTCTCTCTAACCCAGAGAAGTAGGATGAAAAACAAGGCCTCTGTCTCTCTTCCTGTGCCAGGAAAGGGTCACTGCCCTTTCCTCGGAGACCCCCATGCTCAAGAGGACAGAGAGCGAGCTCAGAGACAAAGGCATGGGCTAAATGAATTGGCCCCAGCAGGGAACAGATGGTGACGCCAAAAGAGGTGCCCAGAAGGAACTGGATGAAGGGGGACAGGAAGGGAGAGAGGGGCAAGCTGCGAGGGTTGTTTATCTTTCTGATGTGCTGACATGGAGGGATGTCAGGCCAGCCAGGGAGGAAGTGGAGCAGAGTGCAAGAGTTTTGAGGCTTCCAGAAAATACTCTACAGAGTAAGGAGCAGGTGTGGTGGGAGGGGACTTTGGGAGGCATGGCACCCGGGTAGGCCCTGGACATACTTACTTTAGGGACAGCCGAGATGCTGTGCGGTCAGTGTCAGGGCCAGGCAGTCAGAGCTTTCCCAGAGAGTGGCGGCCCCATGGAGCAAGGCCAGGGTGCCTCTGCGCTCAAGGCCCCCTGAGCACCCAGCCCCAGGGGCACTCTTAAAGGGCCAGCTCCCTGAGCTCAGGGATAGGCCTTGGGTCTCAGCCAATGAGGTAAGAGGATCATTTGCATATCTTGGCCTTGGGGTGGAGGGTGGTTGAGAGGGAGAAGAGAGGAAAGGACAAACATCAAGTGTGTCTGTTCTCTAAGAATCCAACAAAGCTCTTCGTTCGCCAGAAGAGAGAGCAACCTGGACCCCAACCATCACCCTGTCTGTGGACTTAACCTCAGTTGTCAGTCCGGAAAAAGAGAGCTAGGCAAGCTTCCAGAACCCCTTCCTCCCAAGGCTCTAAGGCTTCTCACCTGTGTCTCCAGGGAACAGTTCTCTCAAACTCATCCTCACTCTTCAGAAGGTGGGTTTCCCATTTTCAAGGTGGGCTTTCCTATTCCTGCCCCCTTAGGCATCTTCCCCACTAAGGGCCTCAGAGTCATCACATCAGAAAGATAAGCAATGTTCCCCCTTGAGGAATCTCCAGACCCCTCATCTTCTCTCCATTCCAGCTGACTGAACCCCAGCCAGGCAGCCCAAGGTGGGAGAAGGAACCGAAGAGCAAGTGGGGGAGAGCAGCATCTTTCTTTCTACCCTCCAGCCATCGGGGACATGGAAATACAATCACCTGTAGGGCACTGGGGGACATTTGGGTACTGCCCTTACACGCCCTTTGCTTCCTCTCATCTCTCCCCCATGTGTGTGCCTCTTCCCATCTCATCTCACCCATCCCAGTTCCCAGATGGCTTGGGGGATGACCTACATTTTCAGCCTAATCCCCTAACACCTCTTAGAGTTATCATCCACATGTAGGAGTTAGAACAGGGAGACTAAGAATTAGCTAAGGAGATGTTTAAACCTATCCGAAGCCATTCAAGGGTCTGCACTGGAATAGAACTCCAAGAGTTAAAAAGCCATTCCCTACCTTCTCAGGACATTCCCTCTTTCAAACTCTGCTTTGGGATTCCCAGGTCCTCTCTCTCAGTCCAGAGACGGATCCTGAGGCCCATCAGCCCCAGTGATCACCAATCCCCACAATTAAGCTGGTCCCAACAATTAGGTGCATTAGATGTTGGGCGAGAGCTGGGGCATACAGAATTGTCTGAGATTTTCTCAAAGTGTGGTTCCCAGACCATCAGCAGTAGCCACGCCTCTAGGCTGGTAGGCTTCATAGCAATACCAACTCTCTGGCTCAACTCACACCAACTGAGCTGATATCTCTAGAGATAAGGTTCAGAAATCTACCCTTTAACCAACTCTCCAGGCAAACTCCAAACACACACACACACACACACACACACACACACACGTTTGAGACCCACTGGCCTGAGAAGCCCAAGTTTCTGCAATCTCTCCTACCATGCTTGTTGTTTTTTGTTCTTTAAGATTCTTTTTTTTTTTTTTTATTGGAAAGGCAATTTTGTATAGTAAGAAGGAGAGACAGAGACAAAAAGCTTCCATCTGCTGGTTCACTCCCCAAGTGGCCACAATAACCGGAGCTGAGCTAAGTCAAAGCCAGAAGCTTCTTCTGGGTCTCCCACATGGATGCAGGGTCCCAAGACTTTGAGCCATCTTCCGCTGCCTTCCCAGGCCACAAGCAGGGAACTGGATGGGAAGTAGAGCAGCAGGGACACGAACCAGCGCCCATATGGGATTCTGGTACTTGCAAGGGGAGGGTTAGTCACTTGAGCCATGGTGCTGCCCTCCACCATGCTTTCTACACACAAATTATAAAACCTAGCCCAGACAAGACCACTCCCTTGCCAGGCCTGAAGCTCCGTTTTCTGGAGTAGACACCATGGTCCTCCCTCAGCTAGGAAGTGCTCTCCAGGTAATTGCCCTGAATCTAATGCTATTTGCTCAGAAGAATCAGAAGGGGGGAGGCTGGCCTCAAGACCGGAAGAGGAATAATGGTGGCAGGAAACTTCCCAAACACAGGCCCATGGATTGTCACTCATTAAAATAAGTCCCCCAGGAAAGACAGGCTAAAATTTTTTTGGTTGGGCCCGAAGACGAAATAGTTAAATCTTTGTCTTGTATGTGCCAGGATCCCTTGTGGGCACCAGTTTGTGACACAGCTGCTCCACTTCCCATCCAGCTCACTGCTTGTGGCCTGGGAAAGCAGTGGAGGATGGCCCAAAGCCTTGGGATCCTGCACCTGCATAGGAAACCTGGAAGAAGCTCCTGGCTTCAGATAGGCTCAGCAGTCATTAGGGGAGTGAACCAGTAGACAGAAGACCTTTCTTGCTGTCTCTCTTTCTCTCTATAAATCTGCTTTTCCAATAAAAATAAATATTTTAAAAGGAATTTTCCTGGCTGAAGAAAGATGGGAAGTGTTGAGAGGTACCCCTTTCACGGCTGCCCTGACCTGATGAGACACTTGTCCCCTAACCAGCAGCTGTCTAGTCCCTGCTGATCCCCTTGTTTACTGGAGGATGCAAAAGGAGAGGTGGGAGGGCTAAGCTGCTAACGGGCTAAGGGAGTCAGACTAAATAAGCTCAGGCAAGCTGAGCTGAGCTGATCAATTGGGGCTCAGACCAGGCACCGGTGAACCCAAGAAAAGGATTGGGGGAGTGAGGGCTGGGTTCAGATTGGACCAGATGAAAGGACCAAGGGCACAAGGAGGACAGGCTCAACACAGCTGGTGGAGACCACCCAAGAGGAATGCTTGGAACCTGGGAGGTGGATACTGTGAACGCCTTGCTCAAGGACACCTTGATGACAAACATGAAGCTGGGAAGACTCCAGGAGTGACAGGACAGAGGGAGGCAAGGAGACTATGGGAAGCAGTGGGTGTGCCCTGAGTCAGAGGACAGAGCAAGTTAGGGGCTTAGGTTAAAGCAGACCTAGGGATATAGGTAAGTGGAAGAGATGAACAAGGACTAAGGAGAACTGAAAGATGGGGGTGGGAGGTAGTTTGGGGAGCTTCCAGGAGGGAGCAGGAAAGGAGTAAGAGATAACAGGGGAAGTAAACAAGACCAAGAGACTAGAGCAGCAAACACAAAGAAAGGGACAGAGGCAAATAACACTGGGAACCAGAAAGTAGAAACACGCTGAGAAGCAGATGGGTGGATTGTTAAACGACAGAGAGCAATGGACAAGGGGCAAAGAGGTAGAAACACTCCCCTCCCCTGCAGCAGCTTCAAACCGGGGAGGACTTGGGCAGGTGGCCAGAGAGACTGGAGAAGTGGAGAGCTGAACTGCATTACACTTTGCTGATTCCATAGGCATTCTGGGACTGGAATGGTCCTTCAGAGCTGGCACAAATTGGAACAAGGGACCGCATACAGAAAGGGCCTGGAGAACAGCG